ATATTTATATATATATATAAATAACTCTTATTCTTTACATATAGATATTTAGTTTTATTTTTTTAATGTTTATTTTTGAGAAGGAGAGTGAGTGAGTGGGAGGGGGCAGAGAAAGAAGGAGACAGAGAAGACTCTGTGCTGTCAATACAGAGCCCAGTGAAGGGCTCCAAGTCATGAACCCTGAGATCATAACCTGAGTGGAAGTCAGATGCTCAACGGACTGAGCCACCCAGGTGCTCCTAGGTATTTAGTTTTAAATTGGCCTATATTTTAATTAAAAAGCCATGGGAATTTTTCAGATATATGTTTTTTTTCCTAGTATACAATATGTGTAAATCGAAGAGTGTTTTTTTATATACCCTGATTCTTTTGCCTCCCTTCAAATTAAATGAACTCATTCAGATCATCTCCTACATACTTCTCATCTAAAATATCCCTTTGTGGCAAGAAGATTTAAAAACATTGAATAAGTCTACAGAAAGCTTTATTTTGGGGTATGGAGTAGGAAGAAGGGAAGAGGAGCAAAATAAAATTATGAGCAATCAGATTTCAATTTCATATTGCATTGACTGCGTTTCAAACTATTGTACAAGGGGAGAGATTATATTATATGTGGCTCAGACATTTAGTTTAATAGCTCAAAGACTCATTCATAAAATTTTGAAACTTCATGAATCTACATTTTAAATTATTCATTATCTTGCACACATCTTAGTGTGTTCTTTAAAATTTATTGTTCAGAACTGTTACTTATTATCTTTCATGGACACAAATTCTAACAGTAAAGAGTTTCAAGATAAACTTAAGTGACTTTATAATCCATTAATTTTCTTACAAAAATTGTATCTTCAAAAGAACATTTCTTGTATTTTATAAAACTGTTGACCTCCAAAAAGGCCACTAGATGTCAGTTCTGATCTACAATCCAACAGGAATGAATCGTGTCTTACAAGTGATTCCACTGCATTAATATAAAAGTCAATGAAAAATATTTGCCGTGCTTTTACTCTTTCACAGGTGCATGAGCATTTAAATTTTCAAGATAGTGATAATACGGATTTTGAGGACCAAAACACAGAAGAATTCCTTTTACAAGATACTTTCAATTTTCTCTTCTCTAATGAATCTTCACTTCCCATGTTTTCTGAGATATTTCAGGGACTTTATGTATCAGGTGTTTTTAAGGTAAGTGCATATTCTTGTAGTGACAAATATTTCTTTCAAGTCATTCTTTGGAAGGTGCCATTTTCTTTATTGTGCAGTTAAGCAAATTGATAATTCATTTGAAACGAATTGGTATCCATTATATTACATCTCTTATATTTTTCTGGCCTAAACACTAACATTATTTTACGTCAACTAAGTATGAGTGACTGATTCTGATGCAGTTATGGGTTAAAATAAGGCAATTCCTAATTCCTAAGGAATGTTTGTGGATATTATGAATAATACATATTCTATGTTATTTAGAATTCTTTAAGAGGAATAGAGAGAATAAGAGAACTTTTTGGAGCCAGTCTAGAATAGCAGTAACTGCTCTAGATTGACACCAAGGCACGGGAGTTATAATACTAATTTTTAAAGAATTCACATCTGGTTAACATCTTTGCTTAGATTTCTAATGATTAGGATGTAGTGCTTCGTAGTAGCATTGGTTAATTTTTTTTTTATTTAAAAAAAAAATTTTAACGTTGTATTTATTTTTGAGACAGAGAGAGACACGGCATGAACGGGGGAGGGGCAGAGAGAGAGAGGGAGACACAGAATCGGAAGCAGGCTCCAGGGTCCGAGCCATCAGCCCAGAGCCTGACGCGGGGCTCGAACTCGCAGACCGCGAGATCGTGACCTGAGCTGAAGTCGGACGCTCAACCGACTGAGCCACCCAGGCGCCCCGCATTGGTTAATTTTTTAATGACATGTTGATATAACTTTTCTTGATGGATCAAAAAATCTGTACAGATTACTAAGTACAGCATTATTCTCTATACGTCTTTCTGTTTTAAAACCCGTATTCAGAGAACTTGGAAGAGTAGAACATGGAAGTTCTCACAAACAACGTTCTTGCTCTGTGGAGAGTTGTTTGTGAGAGATAGAACATAACTTTATAGACTGCTGTTTCCCTGAGATTTTATTTATTTATTTTTTTAATTTTTTTTTTCAACGTTTATTTATTTTTGGGACAGAGAGAGACAGAGCATGAACGGGCGAGGGGCAGAGAGAGAGGGAGACACAGAATCGGAAACAGGCTCCAGGCTCGGAGCCATCAGCCCAGAGCCTGACGCGGGGCTCGAACTCACGGACCGTGAGATCGTGACCTGGCTGAAGTCGGACGCCCAACCGACTGCGCCACCCAGGCGCCCCTCCCTGAGATTTTATTAATTCTCCTTCTAGTTCCCTATTTTCCTTCACTAGTGAGTAGATTGTCATTAAAACCATTAGAACCACTTCACCCAGAAGGAATGGAAAATATTTGCAACTTCTCCTCTCTGGGATGCATCAGGAAAAAAATAGATGTGAGGGGAAAATGGGGCAGGGGGACCGTTTATCAGAATCCACAAACTCCAAAACTGTAATTTGGAAGAGATTCACATGTTCATTTGCTGCTCTGATCTCTGGTACTTTGAGGGCTGAAGAAGACTCTTCCTGCGTTCCCAAATTGTCACACACCGTCTACCCTATAGGGCTCATCTCCCCAGGCTTACTACCAAAGCACTATTGAGCAATTTCATTCAGCATCTCTTTGTCAAATATGAAATTTTCTTAGAGTCAGACACTGTTGTGACAAGCTGAAGCTACTATGTATTATTTAGCATTAATTAGCTCAGCTGTTTGTAGAGTTCGAACTTTGGTGTATAAAGTGGGAAGCAATTGGGCTAAACATGGTTTGACTTGGTAACAATTGCTTAAGATTTGTTCCCCTCCCCCATTATAGGGCGAAAACTATCAAAAGGAACCAAATCAATGCCTGTCTTTAGAGGAGATGCACTCAATTATGACTTTCATAAAGGAACTTGGGAGTTTGGGGCCATTCCAACTGGTAAAACAAAAGTGACATTTGATTCCTCATGATCACTGAGATTATAGTAGATCAGCCATAAGCTATTTGATTTTCACTTGATGGAGATATTTCGTTAAGAACTAGAAACCTTTGTAAGCTTCTTTCTTCTTTTCAGAGATCTAAATATTAAAATGAGCAGAATCCATTTTCTTTAGGACTTTGCAAATAATACATGGCTTATTCAAGCTAAAGGATATGAGATCAGTAGGGCTGCCAGTATATGGCAGTTCTTAAGGAAAAATGTCCACGTTTTTCTAGAGAAGTTTTGCTTTTAGCTTTGGGACATTTATGTTTGACAAAAATTTCTTTCTGCTCATTGTGCCCTTTTTGTTTGTGTAAAATCAAATATTACTGAATATGAACACATCTTAGAAAACTACCTAAATCTTAATTTAGGTAGCAAACCTAAATATAGAGCAAACTCTATAGCAAACCTCAAAGAAAGAAAATGTAAATAGTTATGATAACCATTACTGGTTTCAGCCTAAAAAAATCAATGACATTTTATTGTCTTTTCTGTGTATTTCTTTGGGTTCTGTTAATATTGGTCAATATCAAGATAATTTAGTACATATACATTCAGTACTTGCTTTTTCTCTAGTTCTGTCACTTGTCTAGGTAGACTACAATGGATTTATATTTTTCTACCTAAGGTTTGTTTATACAAAACATCTTTTTAAAACAGCATTTTTAAAAGTCCACTGATAGTTTGTTATTAATCTGTATGGATCAACATTTATTTTTTACTTAAAAAACCATGTATTCACATTATACTTATCTGAGTTATAACTAATTTACTAAGTTAATTAGTGAATGTTTGGCACTTGTTTTTATAATTTAGACTCATTTTATTTTATTTTTTCCAAATTTTTCTTTAAATTCTAGTTTAGTTAACATACAGTGCAATATTAGTTTCAGGAGTAGAATTTAATGATTCATCACTTACATGCAACAATCATTGCTCATCAAAATAGACTCATATTTTAGAGGATTCAAAGTAAGCTTTTGCCCCAAAGATAATTTAATTGGTAGATTATTTTAATTAATTTAAACATACCCATATTACATTTGTGACAGTTGGATCAAAACTCTACAAATATAAAGACAGAGGTCTCATTCTTCAGGAATTCATAATTTAAGATATTGTGAATGTAGTGAACATCACTCGGCACAGACTACAGAATTATTTCGCAAGAGAAAGAGCAAATCCTAATTTCCTGACTTTCTGTGTCAAAAGAGGATGACTAGATTTTTTTTTTTTGTAGGATTAATATCTCTCACCCTGACAAAGTTCACTTGTAATCCAAAGCAATTTCTCCTCATTCTTCCTACTGCCTGACTCAGTCATTCACCTGTTCTCAGATATCTTTAGGAAGGAGACGTCCATTTCCATTCAATGAAAAGAGAAAGAAAACTCATCCTATTTAGAAATATTATCAACAAAATTTGTTCCTTATAAAAAGTGGCATTTACCTTGACAACTGCACAGAAAATTATATTATGATACTGACCAATGGATTTTAAATAAATATCTGATTTTTAAAAACAGCTGAATAAAATACAAAGACTTTTCTAGTAATAACACCTTTTAAATTATTTTCCATAACTTATTCAGATATTCTCATTTTGACTGTTTCTTTTCAGCTCTTCCCATCTACTGCTCCTGGGATTCAGTCTTTGATGCGTGAATTTTATGATATGGCAAATCCTATAGGACAACCTAGTTCAGTCCTGACTCAGTACTGGTCTCTTTTAAATGTATTTGAACAATTTCGGCTCCTGAATAAAAACGCACAGCTACACCCACTGGAATGGTAAGATAGCCACAAATTTGAATTGTGCAATCCAAAAATTCTCTAAAGATTGATTTCAAAAGATTTTGCCTGCATTAAAGAAAGCAACAAAAAGAAATGTGTCCAAAAATTTGTGCTCTGGAAAATAAGCTTCTGTAAAGCATTGAAACCATAACAATTCTAGTGGTCTTCAAACACTGTAATAAGAACACATCCAACAGTTTTTGAAACCAACAAGACTTGACTCTAAAGAGTAATGTTTAAAATGAAAACCTTCAAACTTGTTTCATTCTGTGATATAGATCCTTGAATTACAGGCGTATCAGACGGAAAGACTTGGGTGACTTTTTTCTTTTCTTTTTTTTTTTTTTTTT